GGGGGGGCAGCACGGGAAAAATGTGCAGTCGTGCATGCATTCCTCACACCACTCATCCATCCATCCACGCATCAGGACGGTCAAGACGACCAGCCCGCCGGCCACTCGCCATAGTTAGTGTACACATGAATGAAGAAAGAGACAGGCAGGCAGGCAGGCAGGCAGGATGGACTTACTCATCTCGTTTCGCATAAAGACACTCGCGCTGTGTTCTGTCGTTAATTGTCCGCACAGACATACATGTGGATAAGAGGCACACAAAGGGAGCTGAAATAAAAGTAACTTGGAACCGCCCACGGCAGAGAGCGGGGAGATAGAGGGCCACAGGGGCCCACACATGCATTCTTTGGATAAAAGCACGGAACGAGGGCCTGCCTGGCACCTGCACCATCACTGCTAGAATCTCTCCTTCGCAGCTCGCTCGCCCCCGGAAAGTGGCCCGTTAGCGAGTCAATTGCGAAAGAAAGATTCTAGCAGTGACGGCACGCACAGAGCCAGGGAGAGAGCCCTTACAAACCACAGCACCAGCACGACATCAATCCGTCAGTCCATCCATCCATCCAGCCATCGATCCCCCAATGAACGCATGTGTATGGCAAAAAACACCCATGCCACCACACCGTCCCACCCAGCCACCCCGCACCCACTCGCGAGCCAGCACCCATCTCTCAAGTCCCGTCACGCCCCCGCCTCTCTGTTACCGCCGTACATGACATGATCCAGGTAGTGGGGGTACCCATACCCATAGCCACAGCCATACCCACCCAACGAAGAGGGCGGGTAGTAGGGATAATAGGGCAGCATGGCTGGGGGTGCAGGTGCATGTCCGTGCACCGAGGGGTAGTAGAAGGGGGGCGGCATGCCCTGGGGAAGGGCCGGCGGGGCGCGCAGACGGGTGAGGGTGGGCCCGGCGGCTGCGTGATGGCCGCTGTAGAGGGGCATCTTGGTGGGCACGTGTGTGCAGCCGCACGAGAGGCAGCACGACTCGTTCGGCGGCGGGATGGGCGAGCAGGGCGTCAGGCAGATGTCGCAATACTCGGAGGGAGACAACGTGCCCCTGCACACACCACACACATGGACATGGACATGAGCATTTCTCCACTGCCGCCCACTCTCCGTTTTATCTATCTACTGACCAGACTCTCCCGAAGTGGGGCACAATGAGAATGCACGGCTGCTTGACGTCACTGCCGCCCAGGAAGTGCGCCGGAGGGTTGAGCTTCTGCACCACGGGGTCATATCGCGGGTAGGGGGTGGAGGTGTCCGGGACGCTCCTCAGGAGACCCGACGGCGCGTGCGGCAGGCTGTAGGCCGTCGCTGGCCGATGCAGCACACTCAACACCTGTTAGTATGTGTGTGACGCACACAGAGAGAGCGAGAGGGGTGTGGGTGTGGGCGTGGAAGGGGTGACGTGTGGAGAAAAGGGCTCACGTACCTGAGATGAGTTCCATCTGTATTCGGGTAGGAGGGATGACATGGCGTTGATCATCTTGGGCAGCGGCGTGATGTACTCGGCCTCCTGCTTGCCGTAACGCACCGGCACCAGTCGACACAGCTCGGCCCACAAATCATACTCGTCGGCCGCATCCTGACCAATTGACCGATTGAGGGAGAGGGACAGACGCACACCACGCGTGTAGAGACAGACAGATGGATGGATGGATGGCTATCGACGTCAGACTGACTGACCTTTGTGTTGAGGTGCAGGCCGTGCAGCAGCCGGAATATGAGCATCACCCGCCACACATCAGACTTCAGACACGCCTACACCCACAGCCACACAACAAACACAGAGAGAGTCATCCCTCCCGTTTGTTTCCCCAGCCCGCCACATACATACAATACATACCATTCTGGTGTGTCTTGACGGCACGACGATCTCCTCCGGCGCCATGTAGTGCAGACAAGGGCCGGTGGGGGGGTCGTCTATGCAGCTGGTGGCCGACACCTCGCTCGAGTAGAGGAAGTGCGACAGACGCAGGCGGACACGGGGCTTCAGATCCATGTACGTGGGCGTCTGGTGAACCACCTCATACTCCTGATGTGTTGAGCGAGAGAGAGAGGGAGGGGCGTGTTGGTGTCTATGCTTTGGTCGGAGTGGCGGGCTGGCTGATTTGGCTGACCCATTGGAGCATGACGGTGTGCTCTGAGATGTCTCTGTGCATGATGGGCGTCTTGCGGCAGTGCAGGCTCTCCACCGCCCTGGCCAGCTGCTCCATGATCGACCAACGGTGCTCCTCAACCCGAATCACGTCAGGATACTCACGCAGAAACTGTCAACACCACACACACACACACACACAGATGCACATCTCTCGTGTGAGAGGTGTGGCTGATTCCCTACCTTAGCGAGCGGCATTCCCTGCGCCTCTGTGATGATACCGATCCGTGGATAGCTGCACACGACGCCCCTGAAGGGCACTGCGATGGCTGTGCCGGCGTTTCTGAGGTTGAAGATGCCGTTGTCCAGCAGCTCCATCAGCGCGGGCGTCCGCATGTACGAGTGACGGTGCCTCGATAGAGCTGCAGGACATTATAAATGAGTGGATGGATGGATGGATGGAAGCGACCGATGGCTTCTTGTGTATGAGTGTGTCGCACGTCACGTCAACGCACCTCTTGCGTCAATCCATATGATATCGACATACTGCCATTCGAGGGTTGCACGCTGGACCTGCAAACGCAGACACACCGAGGCGCGGGCGACGGGGTGGCTGGCTGGCTGATCATGGTCAGCGCTTTGCTCACCGAGGTGAATGCGTTGCATCCCCTTGGCTTCTTGAGCATCGTCAGGGCACCGACCGGCACGATGTGGCCCACGTCAAGCTCACGCCGCAACCATGCATCCGCAGCATCGAAATCCCCCCGCACACCTGACAAACAAACAGACAAACAGGCAGGCAGGCATGCATCCATCCATCATTTTGTTGTGTTGTGTTCCATCTCATCTCTCCTTACGTTCTTCTGAAACATGATGCGCCTCGCTGGCCGCCTTGGCGCCCTTCCTCTCCCCCTCCCTCTGCCTCCCCCGAATGCCCCAAAACAGGTCTGCCACACGCCGCACCGTCTTCGGAGCGGCCTGGTCCTCGCCTTGCGACCTCGGCGAGGCCACACACGAGCCGTCGTCACCATCGCACTGCGGCAGGGCCGATGAAGCGGTCGTCTGCTGGTTGATAATGACGGGCATGCGCGTGACGGTCTTGGCCGTTGTGTGCAGGTGGTGGTGCTGCGGCGGCAGCGTAAAATCGAGGTTGCTGGCGGGGAAGGTGGCGGAGAGGGGGAGGGAGGATCTGGGGTGGGGGGTGGGGGTGGGGGTGGAGGGACGGACGGCATCCATCACCTCGGCCATGGGGATCTGATCCCGCGGCGCCTCGCCGGCCTTCACGGCAACGCTTCCCACGAGAGTCGCGCGAGGTAGAGGCAAGCTGAATCAGCGCTCGGCAAACATTGCTGCCGAGCCACTACACAGACGCTACCCGCGACCCTCTCTCCATGCGCCGCCAAATGCGAGCTTGAGGAAGGCTGCGAGCTTAGCTGTGCGCGATCTCCCTGTTTGTCCCGTCACCGCGTCAGCGTGAGCATCATGGAGGCCGTACTCGGATCCGCAAGTCATCGCCGAGTTGAAAGATGAAAGGACTGAGTGTTCATCGAGTTCTGTCCTCAAGTCGGTCTCTAGTCAGCCAGGCGGCAGCCAGGGCGTCAGGTGCGCTGCCGGTCAGCCGGATGGCGCTGCACAGCCTGTGCGTGGCGAGACCGCCGGCAGCGGTAAGCCGGATGCCGCCCATGAGTGATGATTGGCGGCGAATGGGCGGTGTGCGGACGTTGTATGCGAGTGGCGGCGGCGGTGTCAAGTCGCTGAAGATGAGAGATCTGCTGCGGAAGAAGAAGGAGAGGAGGAAGATCACCGTCATCACCGGTGAGAGAGGAAAACTGTCTGTGTGTCTGCATGTGTAAGCATCAGATCTGATGCATCGGGCGGACGGCATCCATCCCCGTGTGTGTGTTGTGTTGTTCTTATCCTGCCTGCCTGCCTGCAGCGTATGACTTCATCGGCGCACAAGTGGCCAATTCTGCAAGTAGGCGGCAGTTGGAGAGCTGGTCTTTCAACGGGCGTGCTGATGAGAGGGCGCGTTTTGTTGTTTTCTTGTCCATCAGTGCTGGATTGCATCCTTGTGGGCGACTCGCTGGCCAACGTGGTGCTCGGACACGCACGCACCAACCAGGTGACTGACGCTGCACAAACCAAACCAAACCAAACCAGAGGAAAACCCCATTCACAGCAGCTCTGGTGGTCCATCATTCATCTCATCTTCAGATCGGCATGGACGAGATGCTATATCACTGCAAGTCAGTCACCCGCGGCAACTCGCGGTGTTTCGTCATCGGCGACATGCCATTCGGCAGCTACAGCACCGTCGACAGGGCCGTCCAAAACGCCATTCGCTTCGTCAACGAGGGCGGCGTGGCCGCCGTCAAGATCGAGGGACCCATGTACGAGCAAATCAAGGTAAACTGCCCACCTATACAATGATATGAGGGAGGGATCAAGACTCCCGTGTGGCTGTCTGTCTGTTGGTGTATGCAGGCCGTGAGTCAGCTGACGCCGGTCGTGGGCCACACGGGTGTGCTGCCGCAGACGGCCGAGAACTTCCTTGCGAGGGGCAAGACGGCCAAAGATGCCCAGGTAGAGACCAGGGCACATCAAGTGGCGGCACTCGCAACCAGAGGTGCTGTGCTGTCTGGGTGGCTGATGTTGTGTATGGGTGGGTGCAGTATTTGGTCGAGGAGGCGCAGGCGCTCGAGGCTGCCGGCTGCTGCATGATCGTCCTGGAGAAGGTGTGCTCAGAGGTTGCTGAAGAGATCTCACGCAGACTCACCATCCCGACCATCGGCATTGGCGCAGGTCCACACACAGACAAACGCAAAGCCCTCCACACACGCATCCCCCTCCCTCTCTGTGTGTTTGTTCGTGTGCACTGCAGGGCCTCACTGTGACGGGCAGGTGTTGGTGTGGCATGACGTATTGGGCCTGCAGTCGCCCGGCTCCCTCTCCCTCAAGTTCGTCAGGCGCTTTGGCGACGGCTGGCGGCAGACCGCCAAAGCAGTCGAGGAGTACGCCACAGCAGTGGAGCGGGAGACCTTCCCCCACCCGCAGCACAACTCGTTCTTGATGGATCCCGGCGAGAGGGACGCCTTCATCCGATGGACAGAGGGCGAGCCACTGTCTCCGGCTGATGTTGTGGTTGATCAGGGGGGTGAGCCGGCCTTATCTGCGTCTGGTGTTGGTGGCATGGTGGCTGGTGGGTTGAAGAGGGTGTTGGTGATCGGTTCGGGGGGCATGGCGTCACTTGTGGCCTACATGCTCGCCACCAAGGGGGATGTAGCCGTCACCGTCGCGACGCGGTGGCAACAGCAAGGTCAGCCCACCGAGAAAATACCGCACCATCGCTCACATATATGGAATTGTGTCTCTCCTCAGCGAGTGCGATCTCTTCTGGCGGCGGTCTGTCGTGTGTGGACCCCTTGGGCAATCCCCACGGCCCGCCCGTCACCCTGGACGTCGTCACTGACGACACCACCCTACCACAAGGCGCCTTCGACCTCGCCATCATCCTGATCAAAAGCGCCGACACCGAACGGGCGGCCAAGCTCGCCAGGAGGGCTGTGAGGCCCGACGGCTGCGTCCTCTCCCTGCAGAACGGCCTCGACGCGCCGCTAGAGCTGAAGAAGGCCTTCAAAGGCCGCGACGGCCCGAAGCTGCTGCTGGGCACCACCACCAATGGGGCGCTTGTGCGTGCCGGGGACGAGGGCCGTGTGTGGCGGATGGGGGAGGGCGAGACGGTCATCGGGGCGGCGGAGAGGAAGGACGAGGCGTGTGTGGAGCGGGTGAGGGATCTGTTGAACGCGGCGGCTTTGACGACGCGCACGGTGCGGTCGCAAGATGTGCTGGAGACCATCTGGCACAAGTTGGCCATCAATGGTGAGCAGCCAGCCTTTCCTTGGCATCCCCATGTTCAACTTGTGTTGTCGCCTGTGTGTGTCAGCCGTCGTGAATCCCCTGACGGCGTTGTATGGCGTCAACAACGGTGCTCTCACACGGCCTCACTTCGAGCCCCTCATCTCCCAAATCGCACAGGAGGTTGGTACCCCCCACCGCCACCTACGCCCGAGAGTATTCCAACGCACACACGCACGCACCTTTCCTGGTCTGTTCAGGTCTCTGAGGTAGGCCGCGCGCGAGGCATCCGGCTGCCCGAGGGGTCGAATCTCGTCAAGGTGGTGCAGAGGGCCGCTGAAACCACGGCCGCGAACACGTCATCGATGCGCACTGATGTGGAGAACAGGTGGGTGGTGGATGAGGTGGGTGGTGGATGGAGAACACGACAAGGCAGATGGACTTCCTATGGGATGGGTGTATATCTGTTTCAGGCTCCCCACCGAGATTTCGGCGATTTGTGGCGCCATCGCGTCTGAGGCGCGGAAGGTCGGCCTCTCTGCGCCCGTCAACGAGATGCTCGTCCACCTGATCAAAGCGCTCGAGGAACAGCGGCAGACCACCCCACCAGCACCAGCATCCCCACCACTACCACCACAGCCAACAGCGGCAAAGGAGACCCATGCAGCCCTCGCACCCACAGCCGCGGCCACCAGCCCACCGATGGCCACTCGTGTGTGCAAGACACCCAGTGAGCTGATGGGTGTGCGGTCCACCCTGCCAGCGTCGGCTCGTGTGGCGTTCGTGCCCTTCCTAGGTGGCCTGCACGACGGGCACATGGCACTGGTGAGCTGGGGAGAAAAGGGTTGGTTCCAAGGGATTCATTCATGCAGTCTGGATGGATGGATGTCTGGGGCGATCCGTCAGCTTGACGAGGCGTCTCGTCGCGGTGACCGTGTGTGGACGAGCCTCTTCCTCAACCAGCTGCAGTTCCAGTCGGCCAAGGTCCGTGCTGCCTCGCGAGCCTCTGTCTACGCCGCATCGCTCCTGCTGTCATGCTTTGTGTGTTGGTGGTTGTGCAGGATTTTGAGACCTACCCAATGCGTCTGGATGAGGACATCGCCAAGCTGAGGGACAGGAATGTCGAGGTCATCTTCACCCCGAATGTGCAGGACATATACCCCACAGCTGGTACGGATGGATTATCACCATGCAGCGCAGCGGATGGAGTGGAATGGCCCCTTTCTTTGTCTCTGCACACACACAGAGGACAGCTTCCCGGCGCGTGTGGACTTCGCCGGCATCGAGGCGGTCGACGGAGAGGGCAAGGAACGACCTGGGTGAGTGTGTGAGCGACGAGGGATACAGATGGATGGCCGAAAGGGGGCACACACGTCAATCTGCTGGTCTCACTCAGCTTCTTCCGGGGCATTGGAACCGTCCTGACGAAGTTCTTCGCATGGACAAGGTGAGCAAGGGCAAGTGAGAGGACGCTCTGCACACGTCGCTGAATTGTCTTCTCTCGTGTGTCCGCAGGCCATCGGTGGTCGTGTTTGGCCAGAAGGACTTCCTACAGACCGTCATCGTGCGCAAACTGTGCGCCGAGTTCTTCCCTGACGTCGAGGTAACCCCATTCCCCCTCCCTCCCTCCCTCAATCCATGGCTCCATCCCATCTCCTCTTTCTCTGCTGCAGGTGGCAGTGGTGCCGACGGTCCGCGAGAAGGACGGCCTGGCCTTCGCATCACGCAACGCACGGCTCACCCCGGAGGAGAGGAAGAGGGCGCCGCTCATCTACCAGACGCTGCAGGCCGTCGAGGCGCAGCACCGGCGTGGAGAGCGGGACGCCGGGGTGCTGACTGAGGCTGGGCGGGTGTTTGCGGCGTCTCACGGTCTGTCTGTGGACTACATCACTGTGTGCGACCTTTACACGGGCAAGGCAGCCGACGTGCTGCAGCCCACAAAGAGCTACTGCGTCGCTATCGGTAAGGAACAGAACACACGCAGGCAGACCACGGCGGATGTTCTCTCTCTGCACGTGTGTGGTGGGCGTGGCGTTTCTGTGTCGTGTCAGGTGCGTCGGTGGGCCCTTCCTGTCGGCTTGTGGACAACATCGTCCTTGAGGCGCCGAAGGGCGACAGTGCCCAGCAACGGCAGCAGCAGTCAGGGTGGATGGCTTCATGGCTGGGGGCGGGGAAGTAGCACAGATCGTATCGGGCTGCCGTGGCGGGGGCGGTGCGGTGTGTACGTAGGGAGGGGGAGGACGTCGAGAGCAGAGCAGAGCCGGCCGGCTTGCCAGTGCTGGCTGGCTATTTTTCTGTCTCTCCTTCTCTCCTTGTCTTATCTGTCTTCGGTTTTGATCTATCCATTTGGCACTCACCTAACTCCTCTGTCTCTCACCCCCATCCCCCCAGCCAGTCCATCCATCCATTCATTCATAGACCTGCAGGCACGGCGGTGTGCAGTGAGAGGCGCCGTGTTTGTTTTGCTCTGTTGCCTGCACATACCTACTTCCTGCTGCTGCTGCTTGGTGGGCTGTTCTTTCTCTGTCGTGAATGGAGGGCGACTTCGCCACCAACTGGCGAGGGGGCCATCCATTCATGTGCGGAACGGAACAACCATCGAGGGGCGCTGCTGAGAAAAATGACTCAGACACACGAACGAGAGACGGAGGGAGGGAGGGAGGGAGGGAGGGGAGGAGGGATTTCAACAGACAGACGAGAGGGATCTCGCTGATACATACAAACCTTCCTGCAGACAGGCAGGGATGGAGAGAGAGAGAGAGAGAGAGAGAGAGAGGGATTCACCCACTTGCCCAGTGCACTCTCACCCATGCGTTGCTACGTCTTATTGATGCGGAGCATACATACATCCATCCATCCATCCATGCATCACACCTACGTCTGTTTTTTGTCGGGCAGCGCAGCCGCGGTCGCCTCCTTCCCGACTGAGGGCCGGCCGGCTCGCTCCACGCGATCGATGTGCGTGTCATTCATGTCATGTGTTGTGTTGTGTGCCTGTCTGTCTTGGACCTCTTTCTTCGGAGGTGCATTGCACGCTGGATGGATGGATCGATGGGTGCTGACTCGACACACATGTATCGCAGGCAGGCAGGCAGGCCGCCAGCTCACACTTGTAGAGAGGGGGGAAGAAGAAAGTTCAGGTTGTTTTTCGTGTGTACAGGTCGATGGGAGGTGGGTGGTGGGTGGTGCACTGCCGCGGCATCCAGAGCGGTCTCGCTTTATCATGCGCGGGGCACTAGCAGGCGGCGTGTAGGTGGGTGGTGAGTGGATGGACCGGGTGAGTAACCAACCATATGTCCGTCCGGTGTGCAATCGCATGCCTGCCTGCCTCTGTGAGAAGTTGGCCAATTCACTCAGTGTGATGGATGCTATCGCTATGCATGGCTTTTATACTACATGGACACACACACACACTTCTCTTTCCATGCCGACTGTATGCCGACTGTGAACGATTGCTGGAGGAGATTCGCGCGGGGGGTTCGCCCGGCTCAATTTCTGAGAGGCAATCAAACCCTACAAACCCTCCAGGGGAAACAGGAACACGCCAGCAGCAAGCGTGTTACGGGTGTCAGTGACTCTCCTGCGTCATAGTCACCACCCCGAGCCACAGTTAGTACGGCGGGGGTTCCCTCCACCTGTCCGCTAAGCTTGCAGGTGCGCGATGCAGAACGGTTGCTCGCAGCTCGGCAAGGCATCATCTCCCCCTCCCCCCCCTCTCTGTGTGTGCTGTGTGTGTTTGCAGATCTGTGTCAGTGACCTTCACTGCGGTGACGACGTGTGTAGTGTGAGATGGCGCCTCAGAGGCAGGAGCAGCTTCGCATCGTGCCCATCGACCGCCCTGGCCACTACACCAAGGGCAGGCAGATCCAGGCCATCGCAAGCGTCCTGCCAAGTGAGCGAAACAAGAATGGGAAGATGGCAGCACACCCTACACACACAGCGCACACCGCACACGTGTTCCCTATCTCTCTCTCTCTCTCTCTGTGTGTGTGTCTGTTCTTATGCAGTCCGTGTGAAGTTCAAGCCAGGCACCAACCTGCACATCTACAGCATCTCCTTCAGTCCCCAGCTGCCCGGCGACTTCCGCAGGCAAAACCGCATCGTCGCCGACATGAAGGCCAAGCTCAGCCAGGAGCTCAACATGCAGGGCGAGTGCCTCTTCACCGGCACCGCCCTCCTCACCATCCGCCACACGGACATACAGGGCGACGGCAGCCGGCGCGTGACGTTCGAGCACTGTTATGGCGGCCACACGTATGCGGTGACGGTGCGGTGGCGGAATGAGGTGCCGATGAGTGTCAGCGCCATCGACAATGCCGGTGCGCCGCTGGAGATCCGCGCGAGGATGCGGAATGCCTTGGTGAGAGGGAGGGAGAAGGGGACGGCCAATGGGCTGATCCGTGTGTGTGTGTGGATGTGTGCGTGTGTGTGGGTATGACGTATGGCTGTCTTTGCTGCTTCAGAGCTTCTACGTCGACAACGCCGTTCGGACGGCATTGCGGTGCGTATCTATCATCACGGCAGCCAGCCACACACAGCACCGCCCTCATTATTCTGTCTGTCCTCCTGTCCCTCTGTCAGCCGCAATCGCGAGTTCTGGGCGCAGAGAGACTCCTTCTACGACATCTCGGCGCCCATCGACCTCACCGTCGACCAATCGCTGAAGCTGGCACTCGCACGAGGCTTCAGGACCTCCACACTTTCACTGGAAGCCGGCCCGTTCGTTTCCGTGTCTATCAACCACCTGATCATCTGCGGCAACGCGTGGGAGATGATTCGGGACATCTTGGCGCGCACACAGGGGACCGACGAGGCCAAGCAGCAGGCGGTCAACGATGCGCTGAGGCGCAGATGAGAATGCGCCATCTGCTGTGTGGACTGGCGCATTCGTTGTGTGTGTGTGTGTGTGTGTTGGATGGATGGATGGTCTGCAGGACGATTATGACAGAGCACGCGGTGCAGAGCTACACGGTGGAGAGGGTGGACTTCGCCATGACGCCCGACTCGCAATTCCCTGACAGAAAGATCACATACAGAGAGGTGCGAGCTGCGTACGCACCACTGATGCGCCCCACACGTGATGCTATGATGCTCTCTCTCTCTCTCTCTCTGCCTGTGTGTGTGTGTGTATGTGTCAGTACTTCATGGAGAGGTATAGCATCGACGTGCTGCGGCCACAAGGCCCACGCGATCAGCCGATGCTTGTACGCACACACAACGGGCCGCACCTCAGACACACAGACACACACTTGATGTGACGTGATGTGGTTGTCTCCTGCGTCTACCTTGCAGGTCTGTCTTCGGCGGAAAGGCGTGTGCGTCATCCCGCCGTCGCTCGCCAAAGTGACTGGTTGGTAGATGGGTGGGTGGGTGTGGCCACACGCACCAAGAGCTGCCTTCCTACCTGCTCGTTCATCCGGTTCATTCCATTCAGGCCCTCCCCGTCACAGCGACGAGAGAGCCCTCCGCCTCCTCCGCACTAACCTCATCCAAAAGACGCGCACCGACCCCAACACACGCTATAGACAGCTCCGCGACATCCTGCCCATCCTCACCGGCCAGCCCCCACGCACGCGGGCGCGTGAATCCCTCCAAGAAAGCGGCATCGCCTTCATCGAGCCGACCGACTTCATGCACCTCGTGGGCCGGCAGATGGACGTCGACCTCTGCATGGCTGACGTGGGGCTTCGCGACTTGGTGGAGCCGGGTGGGATCGGGGGTGCGATGAAGCGGTCGGTGGCGAGAGGGCCGGACCAGCAGCTGCTGGAGGTACTGGTGCTGCATGAGCGGGGCGAGAGAGAGCTCGGCGGCTTCATGAATGCGCTCAACGAACAGCTGATGAGGTGGGTGGGTGGGCCTTTGTGCGATAGCGATCATTGACGGCATTCGTGTGTGTGTGTCGTGTGTGCAGCTACCAGGTGGGTGTGGCTCAGCGGCCGACGACGGTTGAGGTGCCGGGCGACGGGCGGGCGAGCTCCTGGGTGCGTGCGGCCCGCAACGGCATCGAAGACATGCTCAGACGACACCAGATGGAGACCGGCAAACTCGCAAGACGGTCCATCCATCCATCCATCCATCTCTGTCGACCATTTCCCTCTCTCTCTCTCTGCGTGTGCAGGTGTCTGGTGATCGCCATCTTGCCCGACTCGCTGCCGAGAGAGGTGTACAGCGGGTTGAAGAAGCTCACATACGTCGACTTCCCCGTGGCGTGCCAGTGCGTCCGCCGCAGCACCCTCGCCCACAAGATGGGCGTGGCGCGATCCAAGCTCGTGGGCCAGATTGTGGTCAAGTGTGGGGGGTGGATCTGGGCGATTCCGGCCATAAAGGTTAGGTTGGTCACCACCTGCACACCCACACACACCCACACACACCCACACCCACACACAGGCTGCGTCAAGTCCCTGTGTGTGCTGACAGGAGTCGCTGAGAGACACTGAGACGGGCAACGTCCGGAAGACCATGGTAAAAGAGAGAGCGAGAGAGAGAGAGAGAGAGAGAGAGGAGATCGGATGGATGAACACATCGCCTCTGCGTCGTGTGTGTCATGATCATCATGTCAGGTGATCGGAGTGAGCACTGGCAAGATGCCGCGACAGCAGGGGGTGCTGGCCGCGTGCGCGTCCACCAACGACGAGTAAGACAGAGACCAGACAGAGAGAGAGATAAGCGCCGGCCCAATCGTGTGTGTCGGTGTGGGTGTGTTGGTGTCAGAATGACGAGCTACATGAGTGCGGTGCAGGTGTTGCCGACACCTTCAGGCACCGACACACTGTCAGTAGTCGACACCTTCAAGGAGCGTGAAGCGGCCTTCATGCAGCAGTGCCTCCCGCCGTTCCTGCAGCGATTCGCGCAGACCAATGGATGCACCCCCGAGTACGCCACCCCACCCACACCCACAATAGGAACCTTGACACGTTGTTTCTGCAGGCGTATTGTCATCTATCGCGACGGCGTGCCGGAGGCAGAGAAACCCATCCTCCACAAGTAGGCCCCCCCCACACACACCCTTGTCTGTCTGTCTGCCTCTGGGCGTGTGTTGCAGCCTTTATTTCCGTCAGCCAGCCGAAGGGGCGATCAACCGCGGTCTGCAGGAGTTCGCTGCCGGCTTCAACCCCGCCGTCACGATGTGTGTGGCGTCCAAGAGGGGCCCGGGCGGCGTGCGGTTCTTCCAAATGGAACCCAACTCTCAGCGGGTGCGTGTGGTGGGGCGTGGTGATGAGATCGCATCACTCACGAATGAATGAATGCGTTGGTGTGTGTGTGTGTGGGTGGGTGTGTGGGTGTGTGGGTTAGGTGAGCAACCCTCCGCCCGCCACTGTGTTTGATCGGGACATAGTGCGGCCGTACAAGTTTGATTTCTACATGACCCATCAGCCCGTCACACAGGTACGTGACCCGACGCACACACAACCGACACACACACGATGTCGGGCTGTGTGTTGGTCCATCTCTCTCCCTCCCTCTCTCTCTCTCTCTCTCTGCATGTGTGTTGCCGGTGCAGGGGGTGGTGAGTCCGACGTACTATGACGTTTTGCAGAACGACTCTCTGTTCGCCGACGGGCTGGGGGGCATGGCCACGGAGCCCTTCCAGGAGCTCACGCAGCAGCTGGCGTGCATCTACATGAACTGGTCAGTCAGCCACACCCGCACCCACCCACCCAGTGCACCCACTCATGTCATGTGTCTCTCTCTGTGTTGATCTGTGTGTGCAGGGCTGGTCCCATCAGGCTGCCGGCGCCTCTGATGTACGCCGCCAAGCTGAGGGTGAGCGCCTCTCTCTCTCTCTCTCTCTTGTACTCACCGTGTGTGTGTGTGTGTGTGCTTGCCAGGACATGGTGAGCGACGTGCTTAAGTGTGCCCCCAGCGACGAGCTGAGGCACCACCTGTTCTTCCTTTGATGGACTGTATGCATGAACCAAAAGGCTGGTTGAGCGCGGTGTCTGCGTGTGTATGTGAGTGCGCTTTATCGGTGCATGGTCCAGGGAGGATGGGGTCGGTAGGATGGGAGGGACTGTTGGCGTCTACCATGGCTGCTGGCTGCTGCGGGTCATGACAAGCACCGACACGGCGACAGCACAGCATGGAAGTCCTTACTTGTTGAGAGAGCGGCTGGGCTGAAGTGGGCTGTAGTGATTTATGCACACGACATCACTTGTGTGGTGTGCTGTCGACGTCTGGCTAATCCTGGTCAAGGAGCGACGCTGTTGGTTGGTTAAGAACGGCCTGTTCGTTCGGTGCGTCGCTGCATGGCGTGTGTGGTGAAGCGGTGGATGCATCGGTAGCTTCCTTGTAGCCATGCCATGGTGCTTAACTGTGTGTTGTGTGCTTGTTGCATGTCATGTGTGTGGGGGACGGGACTAAGGTATGCGTGTGTGTGTGTGAATGAAGTACGCTGCAGAGGTTAATTCACATTCAGCACCCATCCACATGACATGAAAAAGTTCACTCGATGGTCCGTCCACATCAGCCAAGACATGACATGACATGACACCCACACCGCACCGCCTAAGGACACAGAACTTTCGGCACATTAGAGTGAATGCCACTACCTACTGTACAGAACCACACGCCCACAAAAAAAGACCAACCGACTCTGCAAGCCATCAAAACACCCACCCGCTCGCCAATGCTGTCGCCTCGGACCCACGGCCGTGTCGGTGGCTGTCATGACTCGCAGCAGCAGCCATGACAGAAACGAACACCTCGCAGAACCAAGGCGGCAGACATCGACAAGAAGGTATGCAGCCAGCCAACCGACCCATCCACACACACACACACACAGCCCCCCCACACCCATCACCTGTCTGTTCTACACCTCTGGCTGTGGGCCACGATAGTCAAGTCACGTGGTGGCGCCCAGTGGCACCAAAAGGGTTGTGTTGTGTGTTGTGGTTGGCTGGTCAGTCGCAGCAGACCACCCGTGTCATGTCGTCATGTCACGCCTCCAATCAGTCAGTCCGTCCATTTGCACCCCCTCATTCTGGCTCGCCCGCTCATCGTCAGATAGTAGTGAGTAGACAGTGTAGTCAGTGGTATGATGATATGGTATATGGTGTATGGTGATGGTAGTAGGCAGATCATCAGCAGCAGCAGCTGCTCATTGTGACCCCTCCTCCCCTCCCATCACAGGCACGCAGGCAGGCAGGCAGGCAGGCACCCTGTGGTAGTGGTGGTGGCAGTGGGTGTAGTGAGTGTGGTGTGGTTGGTGGGTCTTCACTTGCTCTCCTCAACCGCGGCCTTCTTGCTCTTGGACCTGACACACAAAGAGGACACACGACAACACACACAAGGGACACAGCCATGAGGCACGTGATGTGTGCGTGTGGGGAGGCGGTGGGTGGTGTGTCGGCTGGTGCCAGGCTTACTTCTTGGGGAGGAGGACGCTGTGGATGGAGGGGAGCACGCCTCCCATGGAGATGGTCACGTCCGCCATGTATTTGTTGAGCTCCTCGTCGTTCTTGATCGCCAGCATCAGGTGGCGCGGAACAATGCGGCTCTGACACACACAAGACACAACACAACACAACACAACACAGAAACCAGACAGCGCGCACACACCGATGAGATGACCACCCACCCGCCTCTCTCCCTCCCCGCCACCCTCTCTCCCTGCCTCCCTCTTGGCCTCACCTTCTTGTGGTCGCGGGCGGCGTTGCCTGCGAGTTCCAGGATCTCGGCGCAGAGGTACTCGAGCACGGCCGCGAGGTAGACGGGCGCTCCAGAGCCCACCCGCTTGGCATAGCGGCCCTGCTTGAGGTAGCGAGCGATACGGCCGACCGGAAACTGCAGACCCGCCTTGGCAGACCGAGACACGGCCTTGCCGCCCTTCTTCCCACGACCGCCTTTGCCTTTGCCCGACATGCTGCTAACGCGACAAACTGATGTAAGATACGATTCGACAGAGGGAGATGAACGCTCAAACACTCAGAGGGTCAATCGGGGGTAGCGCTGGAGGGACAGTTTCTCAAAGTGCTCAGAGGCTGTGCGAGCTGAGTGGCGATCGGGGGACGTCAAAAATGATTGGCGCGATCCGATCAAAACACATGCAAGGCGATGTGTTTGACGGACACTCGCCGCACTAAATCCCGCCGACTTTTGGGAGAGCGATAGCGTTGAGACCCCCTGTTGCTTGCCGCGTTTGTTGCTCCTTGTGCTGCGTACCTATCGCCTTATCGCCTATCGTGTGTTGAGTTGAGAGATCATGGCGCCCAAAGCCAAGTCGAAGGCCTCGAAGAAGTCCGCCAAGCCCGCTGGCGAGAAGAAGGAGGGCAAGAAGAAGCGCAAGAAGGCGCGCACGGAGACCTACGCCTCCTACGTGTTCAAGGTAGGTCAGACAGACCATCAGGACACCACACACACGGGGAGGGGAGGGATGGTGGGTGCGATGTGTGTGTGTGCTGAGACGCCGCTTCGTCTCCCTGTATGTGGTGTGCTGTGGCGGTCTGCAGGTGCTCAAGCAGGTGCACCCCAACACGGGCATCTCCAAGAAGGGCATGAGCATCATGTGCAGCTTCATGTGAGTGGGCGAGGCCGGGAGGGGAAGAGAGGGAGGCAGGGAGTGTGGTGGGGTGCGTTTGGTCATCCATCGTGCGCTGCGCGTGTTGTCTCTGCCTCTCCCTGTGTGTGGTGGTGCAGCGGTGACACGTTCGAGAAGATCGCTATGGAGGCCGGCAGGTATGTAACCAACACACGACAACACATCACCATGTGTGTCATGATATGTGCTGTGTGTGTGGTGTGTGTGGTTTGTGTGTGCAGGTTGTGCAAGTACAACAAGAAGGACACCCTGTCGAGTCGCGAGATCCAGACGGCCATCCGGCTGGTGCTGCCGGGCGAACTCGCCAAGCACGCCGTGTCGGAGGGCACAAAGGCCGTCACCAAGTAAGACAGGACATCACCACCACCACCACCACACACGCCCGCCACACATCTCTCATCATCATTCCCCCTGTGTGTGCGTGGTGTGTCTTGTGTGATGTGTCAGGTTCACTGGCGGCCCCCAGTGAAGAGACCGAGGGGTGGAATTCACTTCACATAGACAGCACACTGCCTGCCTGCCTTCCACCGTGATGCACTGACTGATGAGAGGCGAGAAGAGGGAGCCAATAACTCACTGAGGGGGAGAGCGAGAGACTCGGACACACCACACACCACCACACCACACACATGGAATGGACGGGGGGAGAGGGGGGTGGGGGGATGGGTGACATGATGCAGCCAGCGATGCATTGCTGCCCTTCTTCGTGAGGGAGGCGATGATGATGTCTGTCTTTTCCGACTGACTGACTGACTGACTGCCCGTACACGCAGACTATTCACACCCATCCGCCTTCCTGCCTGCCTGCCTGCCGGACTGACTGAGCCAACACACACCCAACGACCAACACTCTGGTGCCACTGGGCGCCACCATGTGACTACTGACTGACTGCAGGCATGAAGTGGATGGGTGGGGGAGTGGGGGAGGAGTGGGTGAGCTGCCTCTTGTCTTGGGCCTCGTCTTTTTGGTGGTTGGCTGGTGGGTGTATCCTTTTTCTTTTCCCTCCTCTCGCACGTGTCGTCCCTGGGCTGTCCCGTGTGTGTGTGTACACTCAGTGTGGATGGATGGTTAAATGGGTGAGCTGATGGAATGGACGGACGGTGCGTTGTAGTATAGTATGACGGAGCCGGCAAGTTTTTACCTACGATAGATGAGTGTGCAGATGCGTGTGCTGTGTTCGTGTTGTGGACCCCTTTCTTGCGTAGCGTAATGTAATCAACAATTCAACCAACTCATGTTCTCAATCGAATCGGCATCCATCGTCGCTCGACGCACAAGCGGTTCTCGCATATCATACACTCACAGCGATAAACGCCACAGATGGTCTGGTCCTTCAACACACCATCACCCCACCCGCACGACACACGCGCACGAGTCGGCCGACACGCACGCGGTGACGTGCAAGTGTGGAACGGAACTTTGACGACAAGAGGCCAGGGTGGAACCGAAACCGACACGTCCACGTGTCCAGGCGCACACCACATCTACTTATCCGCTTGGCGCCACTCTTGCCCTGTGCGCCCCGGCCTTCCGCCGCGCCGTCTTCTTGCAGCCGCTGGGCCGTTGCTGTGGTTCTGATGTCGGCACCCCCTCCGTCTCGACACACCGGGCCTTCATCATTTTCCTTCTCTTCTTGGGGTTCGGCCGATTGCCGTCCCTGACCACATGGCGCCGCTGCAGCTCCTCGACGGTCCACACGAGGGCCATGCCGACCGGCCCGCCCCCCTGCCGCAGGTGGCGCACCCACCGCTGGTACAGCGACGTGGCATCGGTGGTGTTGTTAGTGCCTTGGTGGCCGGCGGCGACGAACCAGATGGAGAAGAATGGGGATGATGCATGGCCGGTGTTCTCGGGGTGGGAGTACTCGTACCTGCACACACACACACACACACACACACACACATGGGTGGACGAGTGTGTTTGGGTGTGGTGTGGTGTGGTGTGGTGTACTTGAGGGGCGGGACGGCGAAGAAGCCGCGCTGCAGCCGGTCGAGGCGGTGCCGAAGTTCTCTGAAGTAGCCCTTGGTGGCCACGTAGTTGGGTAGCAGCAGGAAACTGGTCGACAGACAACAGACAGACAGACAGACGCACACGCGGACATGCCACTCTGTTGTGTGTTGATCCATCCATCCATCCATCCACCATGGCTGTGGCGAGCTGAGGGCGAAGCGGAGGATGTCCTCCTTGTGTTCGTCGCTGAAGGGCGGATTGGTCACCATCACGTCATACTCGGGGACGGTCTGCATGCCATTCACGCAACACACAACACGTTGTGTCCGTCCAGCTGCGCTGCGCTGTGCTGTGCTGCGCTGCGCTGTGTTGGTGTCACTCACTCAGTCACTCACCTGGTTCTTGACGTCAGAGTAGAAGTCCCGTTTCTCGTGAATGACGCTCCTGAACCCCAAGCTGTGCAAATGGACTGAACACACACACGCACACCCACACACACACGTGTGGATGCGACGGATGTGCTGCAGAGAGGTGTGTGTGTGTTCTATGGTTGATCACCTTTGGTCTTGCCCGTGCAGTAGAAGGGGTCGTAGATCCGCAGCTCGCCGCTGGTCTTGCGCAGCCCCTCCGCAATGTGCCGCAGGGCGGGCGCGATGTCCTGATACGCGGCAAGGGGGGTCTCGAAATGGTCATTGTACGCTGCAAGTGAATGCACCACAGCACACACAGAGGAGTGTTTGCACCTGTCAGCCTGTCTGTGTGTGTGTGTCCTCTCACGTACCAGTGTCGTATGGGAAGGTCGGCACGCTTCCCGTCTTCCGTTTCTTGGCCGTGTGGCCCTCCCCACCACCGCCGCCACCGCCACCACCACCCTCCCTGCACCTCTTCTCGCCGCTGTCTTGGCTGCCGCTCTCGCCACCCCTCTCGCCGCCCCCACTCAGCATCGTGGTGAGCCCCTCAATCAGATAGCTGTGCCTGATGGGGTGCCCCCTCCTGATCTCGACAAGATGTTTCGCGGCCTCGAGGGTCATGCCGGCACTCTTGACGAGGTAAGCAATGAGGAAGAAGGCCGTCCGATTGACCCCGTGTGTGCAGTGCGTCAGGACCACTTTGGGCCGCTGCTGAGAAGGCGACGGGTGGGCGGCGAAGTGCTCATCGATGTGGCCGGTGAATTCGGCCACATGTGCGGCTTCGGGCGCCTGTCGGCCGAGCACTCTCAGCTTGTGGTAAGCGACGCCCTGCTTCTTGAAGAGAGCAGGGTCGTAGTATCGCTTGGTGTTGGTGAGGTCGATGACAGCTGTGACGGGCAGCCCTCGCCGAGCCATTATCTGCAGCATCTCATTAGGGCTGAAATGGTCGTCCTCACTGACCATGCAGCGGTCGAAATTCGCGCTGAGGGGGCACTTGGCGGCCACTAGATAGCAATGACGCTGGCCGGGGACGGCTATCACCTCTCCCACCTACATGCAGCACCGCACCAGAGAGGCGGGAGTAATGCGGTGGCATGCAGAACACACTCTCTGTGCCTCCCTCGCCGTACTCACCTTCGTGTAGGGAAGCCACTCTTCAACCACTTCTTTGTCGGTTTTCATGAACTTCTCGGTGGGCTTCCTCGGCACAGGGGATGGTTGCTGCTCCTCTGCAGCAGCGGGAGATCCGTCCCGTGGAGAACGTCCGTGCTGCTTGGGAGGTAGGCAAGATGCTGACGCCTTCCCGGGCTTCTTGATCTTTTTCTTCATCTCATCAGACGATCCGTGTGAGCTGAGCGCGCAGACCTCCCTGAGTCGGGTCTGACATCGACGAACCCTGCGCGTGCACGCGTCGGCGACATTCTACTTGCCTGCAGCAGTGCTTGCCATCAGTTTTGCAATGCCAAATCGCCCTGGGCCAGTACAATGGTGCGTGTTGTGTGTGCTGCAATGTGGGTGTAACGCTGACTCATGCATGTGGTTCTGTCGGCGCGTGGAGGCACTTCTCTTGAGTCGAAGGGAGGGACTGTCTGTCTGTCGTCCAGTCCATGCACACACACATGGATGACATTGGTCGCCTATGTTGGAAGCAGACCAAATGGCCGGCAGCCGGAAGGCAGACAAGTGCACGCGCACACACACCGTTCGCATCTCATGATCTGCGCCACACGAGAGGCCACAATGCACACAATCTCTGCCAGCTGCCGACACAGCGGGAAGGTCACAGCCTGATCGCCACACAAGCACGCCATTCCAACGCAGGGAAGGGACACACATGGATGGATGGATGGATGTGCCACCCCACCGTCAGTCACCTGATAGCCTGGCGGCAGATGACTCCACATCGAGCCGAAGACGTGCACCCGTGTCGGCTGCCCGCTCTTCTCAAGAAGCAAGGGTGACGAATCCGCTACCTCGGGCGGCTGGCGGCTGGGCACTACTAGGCGGGGCGATGGCGCTGAGGGCTCCGTGGCTGGGTCGGCAGGTTGGCTCTGCTGCTGGTGCTGTTTTTGCCAGTCGTGCCAGGCCCACAAGACGATGCCGTCACCATTGCGGACATTCTGACCGACCGACGCACACCAGTGCATCGCAATCCATCCATGATAGGGGGCTGGGCTGCATTGTATGTGTGTGGTCTTCATTCGCCGTAGGTAGATACCTCGTAGCCTTGCCTCCTGAGTCGCTCTGCCACGATGCCTGACCTGTAGCCCACACTGCAATCTGACAAGGACACGCACACACAGAAACAGACAAAGGCAGACAAAGCACGTTTGCTTTGGTCTGTCTGTCTGTCTGTCTGTCTGTCTGCCGTCTCACTTTCTCCTTGCCTGTCAGTCAGTGCGATGCCTGAGTGCTGGCAGCTCACATACATGGCACAATCATCGTTGCCGCCTGCAGATCTGCCTCGTCGGCCTCCTCCAGCTGTTCAAGAGTGATGGCCCCGTCCACCATTGAGCAGCTCATCTCCTCTGCGGTGCGGCAGTCGACCATAAGCACCTTCTCTCCCGCCGACTGCAGCCGGACGGCCTCGTCGACTGACAGGGGAGGGACACGCGGGAACTTGCGCTGATAGAAACGGCAGATCTCCTGCGCCTTGGTGAGCTGCGGATGGTGAGGGTGCATGTCATTTAAGCCTTTCTGAAATTGGGTGTCCCTGTCAAACCCTGCTTCGAAACCCTGTCAGCGAGTGTCCCTTCATCATGGGGGAATCAATCCATTTCATGTTCACATCCATCACAGCTGGTCAGCGGTAGCAATCGATGCGTCCATTCCCCAACGAAACTGTAGAGATTCAGCGCACTGCAGACAGAGCGCTGAACCGCTACGACCCCGACGACGAACTCACGCACAAGATCGCGGCAGAATGACATCGCATCACAATGCTCAACAGTATGTAGTAGTGCCTGTCCTCTCAGCCGAACACCAGAAAGGGCGGCGGACGCTTGCTTTCCATAGACAGACAGACAGACAGACAGTCAGACAGACAGTCGAGAGCCGAGAGAGAGCAAGTGGGAGCAGCCAAGGCGACACGAACACGCACTGGATCGTATCGCATTATCCGCATGCATCATGTTACGCATTAGCCAGTCAGTCAGGCGGCCATCGTCATTTCATTTCTGCAGACCACACGCTGCACACCATACTCACTCCATGGTTACGTACGCATCACGCAAAAAGAGGCGCGACGGCCGGCTTCAGGTGAGGGAGGGGACCATCTGATAGCAGGGAAGCTGAGGCGAGGCCAGTCAGTCAGTCAGTCAGTCAGTCGGTCAGTCAGTCAGTCGGTCAGTCAGTCAGTCAGTCGGTCGGTCGACACGACAAAATGGCGCCGTCACCCACTCAAGAGACGATGAAAAACAAATACGCAGTGAGTAGTGTTAGCCAGACACCCACCCTCCCGTCTCCCCTCACCCTGCCTCCCTCACAAGGCATACACACGAGCGACAACAAAACTGTACAATGCCCTTCCTGACTGCCCACAACCCCTACCCGCACCCACACCCACACAGACAGAAGCCGGTCACTGCTCCATGCCGTCATCGTAGTCAGTCATGACGCTCGGCCGCACCATCTGCCGCCCGATGTGCCCAATCCAGCTCTCCTTGTCAGCCGTCGTGTCGGCCACCAGGAAAAACACGCGGCCCGGCGTGTCGACGCGAAAAGCGTTGTCCTTGTGGACCTCGTCGTCGGCCGACTTGACGGTTGAGCAGTCGCGAAGGCGGAGGATTTCAGTGGGGTTGGTGTACTGGCCCTGCTTCCTGAATGAGGCGAGGTAGTGTGGGGTGAGGATGAACCAGCGGCGCCGCCAGTCCCTGAGGAACCTCGACTGCTTGGACAGCCAACCCTCCTTGACGATCTCCTCGCGGCTGATGACGATGTTGTCCGTCATCATCGCACACGCGTCGTCCACAACGAGTCACTCACTCACCGACAGAGCACCGCCCGCTACTGCTTCCACAGGTCAGACGATGCAGTGACGCTCGGACAGCCCTGGTGTGGGCGAATTCTCGCTTTGCCCCGCTTCTCCCTCCGATCTGCGAGCTTAGTGATTCGGCCTGCAGTGAGGGCGCCCGAGAACGTCAGATCTATTCATCCACCCGCTCTCCGCCATCTCCTTCCCATCGAACGAACAGAAGGGCGGCTCCTCCGCTTTGTGAACCACACTTCTCCCGCCCATCCATCTTCCCACGTCTGCAGCTGTTGCCTGACAATGAAGCTCCCGTGGTTGCTGATCTTCCTCCTGGCGCACATCGCCTTCTGCATTGATCCATCCCCCGTCGACCATGCACCGAGTGGCGGGGAGGGCAGATGGGTGTCATCTGTGCGAAGAAGCAGACCGGTCGACCTTCGCCCATCCAGTGTTCTGCTGACAAGGCCACCGGATGCTCTCTTTACGTGCAGAGGCGGCGCGCGTGCCAGCAGCAGAGGGCCGGCAAAGGGGAGGCGTCAGCGGCGCACCACAGCTGATCCCAAGGGCGTGCGGAAGCTCAGCCAGAGTCCCGGGCGGAGTTTCTACTCCAACTGGATCGCCCCCGTGCTGCGCATCTACACCAACATCCAGCTCATCACGCGCCTGTACCTCTCTCTCGCCCTCCTGCTCAGCCTGCTGCAGCTGAAGCCCCTCTCTGTCGACCCCTCGGTGTTCGCCCTCGAGTGGGAGCGGACAGTGCGGTCCTTTGAGTTCTGGCGGCCCTTCACGGCGATGGCCTTCCAGGGCGACCTGACCCTGTCGATGATCAGCACCATGTACTTTATGTGGCAGTATGGGCAGAGCCTGGAGGAGGCCAAGGGCAGCGCCGAGCAGCTGGTGTTCATGCTGACGCAGGTCATCCTGCTCTCGCTGATCGGCTTTAGGTTCCAGCTGCCCTTCACGGGCAGGGCGTTCAGCAGCGCACTCGTCTACGCTTGCTCGCGGAGAGAGCCGTTCGCGATGGTGCCGGTGTTCCTAAATATACGGGTGGGTGTGGGTGTTTGTGTGTGTGCGAGGGGTGGCATGTGCAACGGTGTGTGGCTGTTGGGGTGCGTGTGCGTGTGTGTGTGTGTGTGTGTGTCACACAGGTTCAGTACTGGAAGGTGCCGTTCGCACAGGCGGTGATCGACGTGCTGTCGGCGCAGAAGATCAACGCGGCCATCCCCCACCTGATGGGCATCGCCACCGGACACTTCTACCATTTCTTCAACCAGGTGGGCACACCCACACACCCACACACAAACACACACACACACACACACTGCCCTCTGTGTCTGCCTGTCTGGCTGTGTGCGTCAGATCTACCCAGGTATGGGAGGCTATGCGTGGCTGTCGGCCCCCCGGTGGCTGAGGCGGCGAATCGACAGCGACAAACACGTCTATGAGCCCCTCTCTGCAGCCGGCAGCAAGCGTCGGGGCGATCAGGGGGGTAATGGAAAAAGGAGGTTCGACAAAGGCAGAGGGAGGCGGCTGGGCGGGTGATACGAGTGATATGATCCGGTGGGGCTGTACTCGTTGCTGTCAGTAAGATAGATTTAGGCCGACTGAGAGGGAGCGATTCATGAGCTGAATGTGAGCATCCAGCCTGGAGAGATCAGATTCTGATGCTGTTGGTTGTGTTGTCGTGTTGGTGTCATTCATCCGTCCGGTATGGCTCTCTCGTCGTTTGCCTGCAAGTTGACGAGGGGGAGATGCCCGACGGTCGTCTGGCACCACACACAGCGCACTGCTGCTCACTTGTCTATCAGCGAGCGAGATCGAGGGGTGGGTGACTCTGGCGATCTATGGCGATCGTGTGTGTGGTGAATGGATGGAGGGATGGATGGATGGATGGATGAACCGTCGGTGTCGGGTCGCTTCCGTATCCCTTCTGATTCACTGCCACCCACACACCCATGCCATGTCTGTACAAGCAGCCGTCTCCCTTGGCTTGACACACACACACGCGCGCACGCACACACACACACACAGATGCATCAAGAGGATGCCAAAAAAGACGCGTCGGTTCGTCCCATCTCATGTCATCCATCCATGAGATGGGATGGCATAGGCTGGCTAGCTTGACCAAACGACAATGACATCGTCCGTGTGTGAGGGAGAGAGAGAGGTACCGTACCCAGTGAGTGACCCAGAAAGCGCCCCAACATCATGGTGTGTGTATATGTGTGTGTGTGTCTGGGGGCCATGGTCATGCTAGCCGATCGATGCGGACCCCCCCCCACACCCCCACGCGCAGACACATGCAAAACACGGCACGGCATGGCGCTCATTCGACTCATCGACACGAGTGTAGTTGAGCCAGGCAGGGGAAAAACAATGCGATCATACGTGGGGTTTGGCGCGCGGGCAGGCAGGCAAAACAATAAAGAGGCATTGGCATTCATTGTGAGAAACCGGCCAGACCACCATGTCATGTACCGCCCCGCGCATAGAGGGTGTGTGTGTGTGTATCATCATGGAAGCTACAGGGGGCCGCCCTTGTTCTTCTTCATCTGAACGCACACACACACAGACATTGGCCGGCTTCCTTGTGTGTGTGGGCGTCTCTCTCTCTCTCTCTCTCTGTGTGTGTGTGTGTGTGTGTGTGTGTGTGTCTCACGTTGACGGTGAGTCCGTATGCGGAGAGGCAGCGGTACTCGATGTGCGGCAGGCGGTTCAGGATGTCCTCGGCAGCTACCGTCCTGTGCACACACACACACGCACACACACACACACACAAAGGCCATGTGCCCAATCGCCCCTGTGTATGTATCTGCCATATCTACCCCTCTAGGTCGTTGCTGAAGTGGTACAGGATGAGCGATATCAGGGGGTTCTCAGCCATCGTGCACTGAAGGAGAGAGAGAGACACAAATACGCCTGCTCTGCATTCTGTGTCTGTATGTGTCTCTCCCTGCCCTCACCGACCGTGATGATGATCTCGTCATCGTCGTGGATCTCGTTGGCCACGATGGGCAACGTAGTCGACCTACACACACACACACACACACACACGCACAAGGCACACAGAGGGAGAGAGCTGTCGGCGGAATGGTCTGGTCTGTGGGCGGGCGGAGTACGGACCAGTGGAGGTTGACGTCCTGCGGGAAGCAGATGAATACCGGACGCTCGTAGAACACATTCTGGCCGCGGAATATCACCTAGACGACACCACACACACACCCCAACAGAGATATCCATTCACACGTGTGTGGGGTATTGGACAAAAGGTGCGGCAGGTGCGTCTGTCTGACTGACCTGCCATGCGAACATGGCGGCGGGGAAACGCTTGAGACAGATGCCGGCCGTGGGGTCACGCTCCGTGGCGTTCTCGTACACTATGCGAACCTTGTCTGCACACACGGACACCAAACACACACACATACACACACACACACATACACACACACACACACAAATGCGGCCACCTGCCTGGGCGTGTCTGTGTGTGCAAATGTGTGTGGTGGTGTGTGGTTGGCTTACTCTCCGCTCCGTGGTCGATGCGGACGGACCAGTCGAAGCACATGCCGCACACGAATCGCTGGGGCGACTCGCGCGTGCCGCTGAGCAAATCCTTGATGTTAGAGATGCGCCTGTGGATGGACAACACACACACACACACACGAACAACGAACACACGCAGAGGGGGCGTGGGGGTGTGGCTGTGTGGGTCTGTCTGTGTGGGTGTGGGTGTGCTGTAGGGTACCACTCGTAGCTGGAAATCTCGTGACCGGTCTCGCCTGATGTGGCGGAGAGGGGAGGGGAGGGGAAACCCAGAGAGTGGTTGATTGTGTGTTGGGGTGGGGGCATTGTGTGTTGGTGTGTGTTGGTGTGTGTGTACTAGCATCGGTTCTGAAGATGGACAACTTGCCCTGGTCCGCGTTCCACGGCCAGTTCTTGCAATCCTGCACACACCAACGCCCACATACGCCCACATACACACACACATCACACAGAAGGCGCCCAGCAAGCGGCTCTCGTGGGCGTGGCGTATCCTTTGCCCCGACCCCTCCATCCATCCACGCATCAACAGACAGACAGGTACCTTGAGCAGATCGCATGCGTTCTCGTTCTGCGACCACTCCACGGCAAACACCACAACCAACTCTACGTCACGCTCTGATGGAGAAATGGACCAACACACCACACACGTATCCGCACATCCACACGACCCCCCTCCCCCCTCCCGCCTCTGTGCTCTCTGCTGACCATTCCTGCACTTTGCGGCGGCGACTTTGATGAGTTCGATGACAAACGGTTTGTTGTCCTCCCTCAGGTTGACCAGCCGCTGCTTGGCCGTGTGGTTCTTGAGTATCTCCAGCAGGTGCTCGCCGGCGTACTGGCAGACGCCCTTGGCGATGAGCGGATGGTGGACGATCTCGGCGTGCTCCAGCAGACCGAGGGACGTCTCCATCGTCAAACGAGCTACTACCATCTGCGCAACCGCTGATAGACACACATACAGATGGAATGGACACAGAGAGAGAGAGGTGTGGTGTGCTCTGTGCGTGTGTTTTGTGTGTGAAGGGGGAGGGGGAGGGGGAGGATTACAGGTGGAGTCCATGGTCTCCACACCCAGCGCCTGAAGAGTGACAACAGGTACACAACACAAGGGGCGTGCGCAGATGGGCGTCTTTGTGGTGTATTCCATGCGGTTACCCGCGCCTCCCCCAACACGTCCATGATATCCGTCTGACCAGCCACACAACATAGAAAATCGGTACGGGTACATGAGCGCCCCATGCTTCCCTCCCTCCCTCCCTGTCGACCAACCCACTGACTCACCAGGCTGGTGTTCTCGTCTAGTTCTCCGCCGTATATGTAGTTGACCAGCTGTTTGACCACCGTGTACCGCTGGTTGCTGAAGTCGATGCGAGACATGGCGTGGCTGCCGCTGCACATCGCAGTGCGGAAATACTCTGACAGACACAACACACATGACACACAATACATAACATACACACACACACAAGGTGGTGGATGCCCTCTTTGTCGGTGAGGTCTTGTGGTTACCACAGTTGGCGGCGAGAATGCACTTATGGGCTCTGATCTCCCGGCCCTCAGCGATCAACACGCAATCAAACAAACTCTGGCCACAACACGACACACCACACAAGGAACACCATACAAGGAGAAGAGCATCCATCCATCCATCCCACCTGCCCCACCGCTTTTCATCCCCCATCTGTCCATCCATCCCTCCCTCCCCGTAGTACCGTACCTCATACACCGGGTCCGTGAGGAGTTTCATGAGGTTCTGCTGCAGCTGTTTGTGGCGGTTGATGGCCATCATCTCCGCCATGGCGTCCACACCCCCCTGCGCCTGCGGACCACCCGTCATCGGCGGGCGCATCTCCGTCGATATGGCATTCGGGTACGATAACGCGTTCATCGGCGAACGCACGTTCCCGTACATGGTCCCGGCGGCCAGGTGCGAACCCGAATACACCGTGCTCATGCTACCTACCTGCACCACCATGGATGGATGCCATGGATGGCCATCCCGTGGGCTCTCTTTCGTGCCTTTTCCCACCTGTGGATGGCCGAATCGTCGGCTGAATGCGTTATCCTTGGCCACTCGCGCAGCGGAATGCGCGGAAGCCCCGTTTTTCCCCGCACGAGGAAAGTGGTTTCAAGAGTTTACGCAGCGAGCTGAAAGGCGAAGGGAAGGCGCAGTGACAATGGAGATCTTCACCGCCCCTGCAGCCGGGGCGTCCATCGTCCGATGTCTGCCTTTCCACCACGCTCATACGATGATTCTCTACCACATCGACGCCACAGACGGCGTGGCTCTTCACCTGACACTGGTGGCAGCGGGCTCCTTCGGTCTGCTCGACTCGATGGCCGTCCCTATCGACCACTTCGTCGAATCCGAGAGAGACCGAGATCAAGATCTGGTGCTCATCTGCCAGCTGTGCCTCGAGGAGCAGGTCATCCTGGTGATGCTGAGGACTGGCTTCACCGTCCTGTTCAACGCGGCGACGCTGGAGCTGCAGAACGTCTTCCGGCCGACCGCATTTGATGAGTTCGACACCTCCGTGCTGGGCTCGTGTGTCGGGGCTGGTGCGATGGTTGACCGCCTTGCGACCACGTTTGTCCAACTGGATTCTGGCAGCATCCACTGCTTCTCGACTCAGGCGCTGCTCACTGCGGGAGGCAAGAACACCGCGTGGCTAGAGATCGACCTCCCACACCCTCTGCGCACCGTCACGAGCATCCTCGCCCACCCCACGGCGGATCTGCTGTTCCTTGGGGCGGATGGGGGGAGGGTGGGTGTGTTTTGGTGCCTCAATTTCCCTCCCTCTGAGACGGACGGCAAGCGGCGGCTAAAGGCGAGGGAGAAGACGACCCTGCAGCTGTTGAATGTGCTGGCTTTTGAGGCCAGGCCTGTCAGTGCTCCGAAGGCGCCAAGTGACCCAATGAGGGTGGGTGGAGCACCCAGACAGAGAGAGGGAGAGAGAGAGAGAGAGAGAGAGAGAGAGAGGAAGGAGGAAGGATGCTTTCGTCGATGGTTGTGTGCCTGTGTGTCATCTCCAGGACAGATGGGCGTCTAGCGGTGTGACGTGCATGTCGCTGTGGGGTGACGGCGGGCCTGCAGATCGGGCGGGGCCGCCACATCTGCTCGCGACGGGCGACGGGAGGGGCGTTGTCAGCGTCTGGGGCATCGCTGAGTTCCTCCTGCACGTGGAGACCACCCAGTTCAAACCCAAAAGATTCGGGAAACCGGCCAGGTGAGCGAGCTAGTTCAGCACGCGGGAAAGATGCTGAGGGTTCGCTCATGGGTGTTGTCTTGTGTGCTCTGTAGTGTGGGTCGCGATCTGTTGGTGGCGTCCAGTGTGTTGGACCAGCCCATAGCGGGCCTCTGCTGGCACCCTCCCCTCTGCCCCGCGCCCTCAGCCACCCTCCTCGCCCTTCTCACAGACGGCCGACTGCTCTGGGGCCACCTCGTGGCCACCACACGAGCAGCACCAGCAGCAGCGGCAGCATCGGCAAAGCAGAAGCCTTCTGCCGGTCCACCTGCCACCCTGCAGTGGTATCGCACTCTCTACCCGCTGAGTCAGCCGCCGTCAGCCGAGCTGGCGGTGATTCCCACTGCTTTTGAGCGATTTGGGCGGCGGGGTGGGGGTCTGCTCGACTGGCTGAGTCCGTGGCAGGTGGCCATGCCTGTGCGGGCGAAGGAAGGTCCGGAGGCGGGCTTCTGGCGTCTTGGTGTGGTGGACGTGCTGCAGTCGCTGACACATGGGACGTCATTCGAACGGGTCAGATCTCGAGGAAGCCACCAAACAGTGCCTGCTCTCTTTGTGAGTGATTCCCCTTGCTTGCAGTCATACACGCCCCTCCCATGCGCGCCGTCCGTCGACAGCCTCCTCACCATCACCCCACACGCCAGCCCCCAGCTGACGGTCAAGCCCTCCATCGAGGCGCCCTCGTCCTTTCTCTACCTCTCTCAAGGCCGCATCAAGACATACTCGCTGGTCACGGGCAAGACGCAAACCGCCTTCGAGCACGTCACCAGCGGCCCTGCCGGCGGCGGGGTGGGGCTGCCCACAGCAGCAACAGCAACAGCTGCAGCTGGTGCAGCTGGTGTGCGGGTGCTGTCGATCGTGGATTGTCGGCCGAGGAGCGTCAAGGCGGCCCCGACACACGTTCTAATTGGCGTGTCTTTGGAGGGGCAGGGGGGAGGGGGAGAGCTGTGGGCGGTGGATCGGGGGAGCGTGTTGCTGAGGGTGAAAGATGCCGTCGACGCTGCTCTTGTCGGTGGATGGGACGGCGCACCGACAGGGATCGCTGTGTTGAAGGACAAGAAGCCAGCAGCACCCGAAAGCGCACCACCCTCAAGCCGCATTGAAGTGCTCCCACTGGTAGGAAGGCATCACTGGATCGCTAAATCGCAGTGATGGCATTGTTGTGACATGCTTTCTTGTTTGTCAGGGAGACCAGTCGGCTGCGGCATCTCCCGACGGAGAGGACCTTTCGTTTTGGGCTCACGATCTTCGACCCACTCCACTCAGGTGACTGACATAACAGGCCAACAAACCAACAAGGCCAGCAGACATCGGTTCATGCGATATGCATGTGTGTGTGTGTGTGTGTCTTTCGTTCAGTGGTGGTGCCACGATTGCCGTCTGGTCGCGCAAGGATGGCTCGCTGTCTTTCCTGGACACGCATCGGCCGCAGGGTGGAGCCAGGCTCCGCTCTCCAGCCTTCACGTGTCCTGATGACCTTCCTCATGCACACCCCTTGGTCTCATTCAGCTGGTCGGTGTCCACTGATGCGGGTAACAGCAACCACCATACGGAGGCGATTTCCCCATCAAGCGACTCGCCTGTTGTCTCTTCTCTGTCAGGTGATTCATCGCACTCCCACTCGGTCGGTCTTGCCACCCCGCGTTATGTGGTGGTGCTGCGGCAGGACGAGGGCTCCAAGCCAACACGCTGGACCAACACCGTCCTGCTCGACATGTTCGCCAGCAGGTCGCCGACAGATCGGGTCGTCTCGCTCACCTGGCTCCTCTCGGGATCCGTCCTGGCTGTTGCGACGCCCCTTGCAGTCTTCACCTGCGACACGGACATTCCTCCATCAGACGCCGAAATGCCCACGCAGCCCCCCTTGCACCCACTGCTGTGTTCGCAGCTCCCCCCGCTGATCATCGGTGCTTTGCCCGACCGCTTGCTGCTGTTCAGCTATCGGTTCAGACAGGATCCCCCTGACCAAGAGCTGCGCACCGGTGGCGGAGCGTCATGGGCAAGGGGCATCCATCCGAAGGGCATTGTGCTTGCTCGGCCGGTGGCCTTGCTGGAGACCTTGATGCGGGTGGCGCAGAGGCGGGTGGCTGTGGGTGCGGGCCGCGAGAGTGAGGGTGAGGGGGGTGTGTTGACCAAGCCGACGGTCGAGCAGCTGACCAAGTCGTTCGATGTCTCGTATCTGACACCCCGGTGCCTTCTACCCGAGTCTGCATCGGCATCTGGATCTGGATCAGCATCAGCCGTCCCCCCATTATGGGACAGTCTGGCTACTCTTGTGCCCCCGCCACAATGGAGAAGTGATGGTGAGGCTGTCGTCGCCCAAGCCATCGCCAGCCACCGACAACCTCCTTCAGGCACCAGGAGGCGAGGGGCGGGGGAAAGGGCGGCAGACCCCGAGAGCACTGCACTCGCACACGCCGTCGGGCTGATGTTCGGGATGGGGGCCGACGTGACGTCACACGCGCCACTGACCAAGAAGCAGCGAGAGCAGTACCAGAGGATTGATGAAGGCGCCGTCCGAGCAGTGATCCGCAAGCTGGTCACCGAGGACACAACCGGCACCACTATGCGAGCCCTCTTGACCGCACTGGTGAGGATGGCCGGTCCGTTGCAAGAAGGAGGACGTGAGCGCTTGCTGGCGTGCATTCGGTCTATGAGAGGTGATCCCGAGGGTGGCGCGGCTGACGAGACGGCCGCCCAGCTAGGGTTGCGCCTGCTCTTGCCGTACAGCAGCTTGCTGCCCGTAGATAGCGTCCTGGAAGCGGCCTTGACCCACCACACAGACCCTCTGCTATCGCCCCATCGGCTGGCATCCCTACCTCAGCCCCCGTATAATATGCTGGACCGGGTGTTCACGAGTCGCCGGCTGCCACTGGACGTGTTCGGCGTGAGGAGGGATCCCTTTGTGGAGGTGTTGGTGAGAGAACTGGCGGCCAGCGGGCGGAGTTCCAGCACTGGATCGCTGCCGGACGTCGCTCAGCTGAGGACACCTCTGAGGCCCGCACAGCAGGTGGGCAATGGGCCGTGCAGGGAGCAGCGTTGCATGTTATGTTTTCATCTGTGCTGTGTCATATGTTCAGACTACACCGGTGCTCTTGATGACGCGAGAGGGCCAGATCGCGCCCTTCTTGCCCTCGTCCATTAAGGAGCATCTCGGCATGACCACACCCCAGGTACTTCAACAAAGTTATGCACACACCCAAAGTCAGTCACCTCTCTATTACTGTGTCCGTTCTCGATCATCAGCCGAGTGCCCGTAAGACGGTCGCCACGCTACTAGTCTCTGAAAGGCAGCAAGGTGCGCAAGGCGATCTGTTCCTCATTCCCCTATGAGTGTATTCTTTCTATCAGGCAAGCGCCCCTCGGAAGATGCTGCCAAGGCGTCTCAAGCTCCACTTGACGACCAGGTGGTCATCGCCCCCAGCCCCCCCGGCCTCCTACTCTACTGGCGGTGCGCCGAGGGCGAGGGCGACACCGTCAACGACAGCAGCAAATGCGGCCGCCGGGCAGCCGTCCGAAAGGCACTCGCAGCCGGCCAGTTCTGGCATGAGGCCCTCAGCAGCGGCGAACCGGTGGAGTTCGAGGACGAGTGGGGCACGGGCGCGCCACCAGGGTGGGCTGTGACGCTCGGCAAGGGCCAGGCCCTTGGTCTGGAGTCGCAGCATGGTGATGCAACACTGGACCTTGTTGGCGGCTCGCGGGCAGCTGGGAGCATTGCTCACGCTGCCGCCGAGGAGATTGAGCACGCGTGCTCGCGGGGTGGTGAAGAGGGCACGGCAGGGTGGACATTGGAGATGTGGATCAGGTAGGTATTGGAAGTGGGCGTGCGTTTGGTCTACCTACATTGTTGCTCTCTTCCTGTCTGTCAGGGTGAAGGCGTCCCCAAGCACCATCTCTCCTCTTTCCCGCGACTCCTCATTCCGCATCTCGTGCGTTCTTGCGGCAGCAGGCACCACCTTCACACTCAAGTCGTCTTCGGCTGAGCTTTCATCTCCAAAGGGGCCTCCCATCCCAGAAGGCCAGTGGTTCCACCTGGCCGTCATCTGCTCCGACGCTGCCAAGTCCCTCACCTTCAGGCTGGGCGGATCCCCGACCCACGACGCCGCTGACTTTTGCGTCCACTTGCCCAAGGATTCTGGGCCGATGGTGGAGAAAGGGGCTGATCTGGCCATCGGGGGTGAGGGAGACGCTTTCGATGCCGCAGAGATACGGGTCTTCGGCTTTTGCAGGTCAGCCTGGAGCCAAGATATGTGCAGCGATGGACCGCTGTCGTGTGCGTTATGTCATCCTTCTTCTGCAGGCCTGTGGGTGTGATCGACGAGCAGCGAGGTCGCGTGCTGTCATGTGCGACGGAGGATGCAGCCGCGTCGCGCTTCAAGAAGATCAAGTAGGGGCATCACAGAAGCGGCAGGCGGCAGCATGCGAGAACCTCATTGTGCCCTTCTTTCTTGTTTTATCCTCGTTCAGGATACGGTCACAAGGCGAGCGCCTGAAGGGGCCTGCCGACACATCTGCCGTCATCCCGCCCCCTCCCCTGGTCAGCTTCTCCCTTGCGCCACCAACGGAGAAGTCAGTCGACGCGGAGAGAGCCTCCCGCCGCAGCAAGGCGGCAGCCAGGGGCCCTCGGGCAACCACGAGGAGGCGCAAGCAGATGTCATTCGTGTCGACGTCGAGCAAGTCGCAGTCGTCACGAGAGGAGCTGCCGGTCTCTCCTGAGTCGCGGGGGGGCCATGAAATCGAGCCCATTGAGGAGGCTGAGGAGCCCACGACGCTGGAGGATGTGGCTGTGGAGATGCGGAAGGAGTCGACAGGGGGAGAGGAGCCATGGGCCATCGGTGGTTGGGACGCTGGCTGGCCGGAAGAGGAGCGTCAAGAGCCCGGGCCGCTGGACAGCTTCAACTTCACCCAGAGCATGCCTGCTGCGCCTGCCGTGCCCGCCGAGCCATCACCCAAGGAGAATGGAGTCGTGACGACTGAGGCGCCGGCACACGAGCCTGAAGAGGAGGAGTCACTGCCAGCGTTTCAGGTCACAGAGGGCGAGCAGCGCGAAATCATCGAGTCGATCGCCCCTGCAGAGGAGTTGCAGCCCGACCGCCTCAAGCGATTCGCCAAGGAGGGGCTGGGGCTGGAGTTCGACCACGTGCTCGTCGGCAAGGACGTCATCGTGGACCACCCGAACGTGCAGGCCCTCAGCACTTCAGTGCTGCCCATGGTTGACTCCTTCCTCCACGGAGCGCTTGAGGCTTTCGATGCGCGGCAAGTCGAGAAGGCAACGGAGCTGTTGCAAGCGACGGTGGGTGCGCTGGTGACGTTCGTTCAGTCGGCGGGGTATCTGGTCGTCGAGCCGAGTGACCCTCTCCTGCCGCCAATGGCCGCCCAGTTGGCGCCCCCCGAGCAGATAAGGAGCCGCTTCCGGGTCGCAACGAACTACCTTCTCGTGTCGAGGGTTCTACTCACAGCACAGGTGAACCGGCACACAGCGACTTTGACATATCCATCCATCCATCCACAATGCCTGTCTGTCTGGGTGTGTGCAGGTGTGGAGTGCAATGGACGAGCCCACCGAGAAGGTAGCAGCGTTGTGGGTGGCTCTGCTCCGCGTGCCCGTGGCGAGTCGCCATGCGGCTGCCTTCGGCAAACAGGCGGTCGTCATGACATTCCGGCAGGGTGACATGGCTGCTGCTGACAAGATCGCCGCCATCCTCCTGGGCAAGGAATACGCTCGATACCTGTCGCCAGATGAAGGGTGAACACACACATAAGCTGCACGCACAGACATGACGGTGAGAGGTGGGTATGCATGCTGTCAGGAGCCGCATTGAGTGGCTGAGAGGGGTTATCGCATCACAGAGGAGCGGCACTGAGTCATTCCTCTCCGGCGTGTGCCCAAACCCTCGCTGCAACGGGTTCCTGTCCGCCCTGGCGTGGCGGTGTCACTCATGCGGTGGGAGGGTGGCCCTGTGCAGCCTGACGCTGAGGCTGGAGCTGCCTGAGGATGTTCGGAGGTGCCCTGTGTGTGACGCAACGTACTCATCGAATGTTATCTCTCCCGCTGGCGGGCTGTGCGCGTATTGCGGCGTGGGTGTGGTGCCGAGATCGATTGAACAAGCGAAACCCCTTCTTTCGTATTGAGTGATGGTAGTGCCCAGTCAGCCTGCGATTGGAACGTGGCGAGCTCTGTGACCTTGACGAGTGCATGGCCGAGCGCGTGGCTGAAGACCGCTGCCGTCTGCTCGCCCGGCGTGTCAAGGAACGCGAGTAACTGATCGAATGACGTGTGCATCGATATCGATACGTATACGACGGTCTGCAAACAAACAAACGAACGATTTGCCTCTGGGTCAGAGAAAACAAACGAATCTCTGACTCAGATGCAAATCGTTCGTTTGTTTGTTTGTTTGCAGACGCACCGAGTCAATCGTCGCATGTATCGTTTATGTATGTATGTACAGACGATACATATACGTCATGACGTATGCATCATTATGTATGTGGGCACATGTATGTGTAACGATCTGCCTCGCTCTGTTTCATCGTTCATCGGCTGAGTGACTGACTGAGTGACTCAGTGACTGAGTGACGGGCTGACGATCAATCAACCAACCACGGGCGCCTGCACGATGACGCTGACTTTGCTGTGTGTGTTGGCGTTGCTGGCCGGTCCTTGGTGTGTGTCGTGCCAGCAGCCTCCCTCCAACATCGACCTCAAAATTATGCCTTCGAAGAAATGGTGAGACAATCATTCAATCAATCAATCAGACAGACACACAGACACACAGACAGAGAGGCTCATTGAGAAACAGACAGACAGACAGACAGGCAGACAGACAGGTTCACTTAGTGTTTGGTTGCATGTGTGTGTAGGAAGTTTGAGAAGCAGGAGCTCAATCGTCTGCGCGAGGAGGTCAGCGACACACTCAGACACACACTTTTGTGTGAACTATGTAACTCTCTGTGTCTCTATCTGATCATGTGAATCAGCTGCGCCACGAAGTTCGTCGACAGGTCGAAGGGATGGAGGACGCAATTGCCGAGCAGGCAAGACTCAGGCAGCGAAGCGGCAATGTCTGGAGCATGCACGGAGCCCCTCTCTTCGTCCCCGCCGTCCCACCCTCCCTCTCTGCCTCGAGCATGGGCATGATGCCTCCGAGTGGCGTCATGACGCAACCGGCGCCCGGGCAGAACCAACTCAACCTCAACCTCGGCCCCACCCAATACAGCCCCTCGCGTTACACCGTCCAGCGCCCAATGTCGTTCCGGCAGATCGACACACCCGCCGCGAGTGAGAGTGGCAGTGACCCGGTGGCCGGCTCTCTGTTGGCCACCGACGGATTGATGCCATCGACAGCAGTGGAGCGCAGTGAGCAGCAAGAGGGCGATGGTGAAGACGATGGCACGACCAAGAATAACGGCATCATAGACAACGTCATCAGCCAGGTGTGCACACACAGGCAAGGAGACGCACAAACCAAACTCTATGTGTGATGGATGTGTTGTGATGTCAGCTTGAGGATGTGGCGGGCGCCGACAAACAAGAGACACGTGACGAAGACGACAATGGCCAACAAGTAAGTCCATGAACCTCTCACTCACGACACACATGAATGAATGAATGAATGTGATGTGTGGTGTCTGCGGTGCCCTTTGCCTCGTGTGTGGGTGTATGTGTGGAAATCGCTTCTAATGTGCCTACTAGGAACACACAGCGCAGCACACCACACAGTAATTTTCGATAAAGGATGCACTCACTACCCTCAGCCACACAGACACACAGAGATACACAGACACACAGAGAGCCGTGCCGCCGTGCATGTGTTTCCTCAGTCTGATGTGTCGGAGGGTGCTGCGGCGAGTGACGAGTCAGCATCCACAACCACAACCACAATGGCCACCACCAACATCAGCAGCAAAGGGGACGGCCGCTTCAAGCAGGAGCACCACACCGAGAGAGCGGCTGTGACGAAGGAGCATCTACAGAACGGCCCCCTCCCAAGAGCGTTGGCTTACCTCTACGCCAAACACACCTCACGCAGGAATGTGTGAGCGGAGGCAGTTGATGGCTGAGTAACTGACTGAATGGATTGACGCGCAACATGAAGTGTGTGTATTCTCATGAATGAGAAAATGAGTCAGTCCATTGCATGAGAAAACACCAGACTGTCGCATCGGTCGGTCGACAGAACACAAATTAGTGCAAGAATGAATGAATGTGCATCGGTCGAGCAGACCGTCACCCATCCAGCAGCCACACGCATGACAAGTCTCCATCCATCCAAATGTGACAGGCAACGACGAGGTCATTGCCTCTGCGAGCTAAAAAAAGGGGGGGGGGGGAAGGCCTTTGTTGCTTGATAGCTCTGTGTCCGGTTTTCCCTCGCCAGCACACGTCGCTGGTCCGCCATGGACGTCAATCAGGTGAGTTCAGACACTCGAGGGCTCAGAGGCTCAGAGGGCAGAGCAGAGGATCCATCTTTTGATTTCTCCTCTCAATCTCCTCTTTGATGATGTGTTTGGTTCTCCCTCCGTTCAGTCTGTTGCGAATGCTCGTGCCGTCAAGGACAGCCTGGAGCTGCTCCTCAACCAAGATCCCGCTGCCATCGCCGCGCAGGTGGGTTATACTGGCTGGCTGAGAAACACTGCCGAGGAGCCGCTCACTGCGTCCTTTGCTGGTGAATCATCAGCTGGGCCCGATAGCCCCACTGCTGAGCACCCTCGCGAGCCGGCTCCAGCAGGGAGGGCCCAGCCTCACCGGTGCTGTAGCTGTAGATGCGCCCATCCCACCCACCGACGCCGCTGCCGCATCGGGAGCGGCACACACAGAGCCACAGGTGGGGTGAGGTGCGTGGCCGTCAATCGTCGTCTGTGCATGGATCCGCCCTCTGCCTTCTTGTGGCTGTCGTGTTGTCTTATTGCATTGCAGGCGCCTGTGGTGAGAAGTCCGTCCTATCGTTGGATTCATAGAAGCGGCAACAATCCACCCGTGAGCCAAAGTCCGGTTAGCAACGCGCGGCGATGAGTGTGATGCTGTCAGCCCGTCACGTTTGGTTGTCCTCTCTGTTTTTCATTTCAGGCTCGTCACCGTCTGTCGCGTGACGAGTTGGCCAACGTGTACGGCCACCTGCAGCCATGGGAGCTGACCCGCTACCGCCGGCCCCTCGGCACGCCCCTCTTCAACCAGTCGGCCGCCAACTACACCAACATCACGATCGACTGTGAGGACGACACGGCGCGGCGAATGTGGGAGACCATGCCGCTGGCTGTGGCGCACAAGTGGGGGCAGAGAGCGACCAATGTCCGAGAGATCAGGCACCGCCATCCCGCTTATCGAGAGGGCTGGTGTCGCGGCACCTGGGTCGCCGTGGTGGAGGGTCACGGGCGTGGCCGGGCGGCCATCGCAGAGAAGAAGAACGGGAGAGGGAGGAGGAGGAGGAGAAGGAGAAGGAGAAGGAGGACGGGGAAGGAGGGGAGGGGACAGCTGCTGCGCCACGACAAGACGATGACAAGGGCACATTGGAGGTGATGTCATTCGAGGCCGTCAGGCTCGACGACAGCGTGGACATCCCTCGCCCTCCCCCATCATCTGACCTCCCCCTCCCTGCCCCCACCGCCCCCATCCATCTGCCGGCACTCAAGACGGTCGACAAAATACCCAGCGAGTGCCTGTCGGCTCGCGTGGGTCGCCAGTGGCGCACGCCCGCTGTCAAGACGCTCATCACCCAAAGCCTTCATGCTGCGTCAGGGGTGGTGGGTGCCAAGGTATGGCTCGGCGACTGTCAGACCATTGAGGTGCTCGACCTCACCGAAGGACACCTCCGGTGGCTGAGCACCGGGAGGGTGGCGGCCGATGTGCTGAGTGTCCTGCCCGCCGACGGGCGCTCGTTGGCGGCGCTCCGCACACTGCGAGGCGTCTGGATCGGTCGGAGCAGCCCCGCCGAGATCGACATGCTGCGCGAGGTGCTGGTGGCGAGGGGCGTCAGGCAGTCCATCCGAGAGCTCGAGATCGACCTAGCCACTATTCTGAGCAACTCAGACGGGCACTGGGAGAAAGTGCAGAGGGCCGCAGTGCTCGTGTAAGGACAAATGAGAAGAGGAGGGATCGGCACACCAGATGTGGTCGTCCTTTGGTGCTTTGCTGCAGCGAGGCCGTCGCGCATCGAGATGCATTGCGGGAGCGCGTTGTGGGTGACTGTGACGGGGATAGAGACATCTACGCTGAGCTCCTCTCGCGCAGCAGCACCGGCACCCCAACCGTCCAGAAGCTCATCAACGAGTCCGCCACCACGGCCGGCACCGTGATGTACAGCGGACGGGACGAGGCCATCCCTGCTGCCTTCTCGGACGACACATTCGGCATCGCCTCCATACTGCAGCTGCTGGACGACGCCCTCGACGATGAGGCCAAGAAGAAGCGGGCGGTCGAGATCGCCGCTCACATGCCCAGCCTGTCTCACTTCAAGGCAGGAGACTACGACGAGGTGCTGGACGCGCCGGCTGGTGATGTTTGGGTGTTCCTCGAGCGGCTGCAGACGGCGCTGGTCAGCAAGGGGCGGGAGAGGAGCCTGTCGGTGGAGATGTTTCTGCCAGCGAATGCATTCCTCGAGCCTGTGCACGCCCGCGACAGCCCGTGCCTGTGGGGGCCGGCCAGCAACGAGAAGCTGCCGCCGATCGAGGAAGTAGAGATCCATGTGTCTGGTGAGGGGGGGGGGGGGGGG